CTTAACTTAGATGATTTCCCCATTTTTTAACTTAATTTATTATWATTTTTTTAGTTTAAAAACCTTTCGTTCTCTGACTTAGGTATATATATATATATATGAGGCAACTTCAAATATCTTTTCACAATCTGTTTCCATCTGTCGGTATAATGAATGATTTCAATCATGTCCTCCTTGAGCGATTGACAGAATTTTAGAGAGAAAATATATATTCTTTCAGTGTCTCTATACATAGAGCATGAAGGGATAATAAAGAGTAAGGTTTTCTCCATCTTACGCACGATTCAAAACGGAAACAAATTAAAGCTCGTAAAGGATGCCGGTGGGTTCAAGATGATCCTTAACTTCAAGCAATTAATGATGTTATAAACGTGCGCGCAACAGTTTACGTGAAATAGTAATAATTAAACATTATCCTCGTTGAGGTGCTCTAGTTCTAGGGATAATAAAGAGTAAGTTTTTCTCTATCTTACGCACGATCTCTTTCCATTTTCAAAACGGAAACAAAGCTCGTAAAGGATGCCGGTTCACGATGATCCTTAACTTCAAGCAATTAATGATGTTATAAACGTGCGCGCAACTGTTTACGTGAAATAGTAATAACTAAACATTATCCTCGTTGAGGTTGCTCTAGTTCCAGCCAATAGTGAAAAACGTTGCACACAGTTTTTGCATGATTACCTATTTTTTAAATTTCTTTGTGCAAGATGGCATATTGCCGAGCGCTCTATTAAACTAGTTGCTCTAGTTCCAGCCAATAGTGAAAAACGTTGCACACAGAGTTTTTGCTTGATTACCTATTTTTTAAATTTCTTTGTACAAGATGGCATATTGCCGAGCGCTCTATTAAACTAGCACTCCGTGGGATTTTGGAGAAAGATTCAATTTAACTTAGATAGCACGCTGAGTAGAATATTCAAGCGGATGTTAAATTTTCGTAAAAAACATTACCATCATTCACAGAAGCACCTTAAAGTAGAATGAAATAAAAACGACTTATTCGCCTTTGATTCATTYATCTCGGTGTATTGAATTTAAAATCGTACAGTTACAAAATTCAGAGATTAATATTAAACAAACTGCTTTCTGATTCAATACATTTAAATACTTCTAAAAAGTTTTAGGAATATAATATTTAAGTTTTAAGGGGTAAATACAATGTAAATATAGTCTATTGCGTATATTTATTTTTAGTGAATTTTTGCAAATGTTTCTGAGGCTTAATTCTTTGAACATGGCTGCCAAACGTTGTCAAGTGAATTTCAGTTATCGAAAGCTAATTTTSTTTTGTAAATATTATCGAATAGACTAAGAACTTAAAAAATGTGTAGGAATAAGATTCAACTTCATCGCTAATATTTCAAAGCCTTTTTGCGAGTAATATGCATGCACAGCTCGACACTGGGCATAAAGCTTAGCAAACAAGATAAATAAATGAAGTGTCAACGAGCGTGTTAAGCTTATTTTCGAGTAACGTTTGGTCAATATGTATGCACATTAATGGAACTTAACTTTCATGCGATTTTCTAAAATTGTATCCAACTTAGCAAATCACAATCCACACAAAATTATCTTGTTTGTACAATATATTCAGGTGGAAAAATTGTTATTCATTGTTAAAACATGGCAGAAGGAATACCCTTTAYAATTACAAAGAGCTTTTCGTGTATTAACTTGCTTTCATACATAAAAATCCTAAAGTAATGCGAACTAAACTCTTRAAAATACAAACACGATGATTTACAAACTATATAACCGGTCTTGGGATCAATTGAAGCCATTCACGAGGATTTTGACGTTTAAATCTTACCTTAACTAGAAACTGACATCGTTTTATTAACTTTCATTCGCTCRTAGCTTTCGCAGCATAAAAAARCCGCCATTAGCGAAGTTTTCGCCGATTTTATCGTAGAATTCGTAGCTGAAGTACGCCATGATGGCTGTTGCTACCAAACATCCATCGTTCAGAAAATCGGTGAATAATTTATGCATAGAAACAAAGGAGGCAAAGAATACTAATGACTCGTGTTGTTTTGAATCAATAGGCTTTGACGTCATTGGTTGTAGCACAGTTTGAATGAAAATCTCTGAAACAAAAGTTCCAAATATATAACATACCAAAGCATTTAAGTGCTTTGTAATTTTAAAATTCCGTTTGTAAATTTAGHATTTCGATTGGAGATCATTCTACCTTTTATAAACATGAAGTATTTTAAAAACACTTTATATCTCAAAAATTAAGAATGCCTTAAAACAAAAAAATAAAATTAAACAAACAAAGCAAATATGACTATAATTGCAATCAAACAAAATGACAAWGCAAGTACTTAAGCCCCTCGCAATGTATAGAATTTGGCATAAAATTTCTATGCATGAAATCCAACGTCTTCAGCAACAGCGTTTAATACATACGTTGAATTAATCAAGAAATTTTAACTAAATAAGCAGACAACGAAGTAGACAAGGAAGTGTTATGGTTCCCTGTTTTTGCTGAATAATTGCAGAAGAGGAAGGAGAAAAAAAAAACGTCAAAGAACGTCCGTGCCTCTCTCTCAAAAATTTCTGAGCCCACCCTTGAAAGGAATGACATTAACGTAAGCATAACAATAAGCGTAAGACCAAGAAAAAGCTAATTAWGAACAAAAAGAGATAACAAAGAAAACCACCTTCTTTTTGTCATTCTTCATCAATTCTAAATCTATTTGTTTTGCTTGTTTGTTTGTTGTTGTTTTTGTGCATTTGCCTATGCCTTACTGCTTATGAACTCAATAAGCCGAGATGCAATAACAAGTTACGCGTGCGACTTTAGTATACAACTCAAATGAGCTCCAAATTGCACCGTGTAAATCCCACTACCACTTTTTTACAAATGTCTTACGCAGCCTACGACTTATAGTATGATTTTGAACCTGATCAAAAATCGTACGACTTGTCGAAGGGAAATCGTATASTACAAGTCGTACACGACAATCGTACCGTGACTATAAACCGTACTTAACCATTTATGCATTTTTTATTGTGACTCGTCCTTCCTCTTTTCTTTTCATTAATACAAGCTTTTGCAAGCGTCCCCAGAAAAACAGGAACTATGACCCAGACAATTAAAACCGGTTTAAAACAGGTTTGTGCAAAAGATCATGCGGTAAAGAACTTATAGTCATGTGACTTCATTTCTTACAAGGCACTCCTCCGAGGATTTCTGCACTTTTTGGTGATTCCTTTCTTACAACGAATTCTAATTTCACAGAATTAACAACTTAAGGTAAGCAGTACAGCTTCAAATCCTCCTAGAAACGTAAACATTGCRTAACTATGATATGAATCATACTTTTATAACTGGCGTGTTTCCTTCGCAGAAACCTTCTCGTCTCGACTGCCAGTTACCAAGGTATATGAAGGTAATTTAAGCGATAAATCTTGTCAGYTCGTGTGGAAATAAGTATTTGATAAACTTAGAKTTACGATTGGGCATTRCTGGTTTATGATTTGTAGTTTAACGTGCGATAATTCTTGGATCGACCGTGTAATCAACAGTCTATTTTACTGAAGCCTCCAGTTGAATCTACGCCATTAAACAGTTTTCAAAACTTGGACAATTAACTAAATTGCACTTTAAGGTAAGTTGTTTTCACTTTTTGTGAATGTTACTGTAGCATTAGTATTAGTTGTGTTTTGATTAGTGGTGCATGTTTCATAAATTACGCATTTATTTAAAATATGCTCTTTTCAGCATGCCGGAAATGGAGAAGCTTTTGTGCTATTGATTTCCTGTAAATAGTAAATCGTTCACGGAAAAAGCTCCAGTATTTCCTCACATTTCGTTCATTGTAATCTACGAATTATGAAAGTATGTAGGATCAGTAAACTGGCATTGAGTAAGCGAAAGTCTTTGTGGGGCGCTCAGCTAGACAGCTAGACAGGATTGTCAGAAAAGGTCACGACGAAATCGAAACTTGTCAGTTCAAATTTCAAGACGGTTTTGACGGGAAAAATAAGGCCGCAGCATCCAAAGTTAATTCTAGAAAACATTTCACATGATTGAGATATATCGTCCGTGCTGCTTGGTTATTTCTAAAAAGCCTGAAATGTTTAATAAAATATTTTTTCATGACGAATGTGCCCAAATACCAGTACATCATTTTATTTCCCATCTTTCTCGCAGGCAGCCCAACCCTTTCAGATTGCAATGTCATTAAAAAATTGTTATTTTTATCAATTATTATCTTTATGCTTTAGAAGTGCTCTCTTAAGTTCTCGAGTAATCGAAAGATGAGGATAAAAGGAACGAGCACACACTTTTATCTTCCTAGGCAGCCCAACCATTAATTCAGATGACAGTATCATAATTAAATTTTTTACTTTTATTGATAGCTATTTTTATGCTTACAAGATTTCTCTCAAGTTCTCGAGTAATCGAATTTGATGTAAATGAGCGCACACTTTTATCTTGCTAGAGAGCGCTCTTTATAATGTGTGGGTTTCCTGTGTACTGCATCATAAAAGGCGCGTCATATTTGAATTTTCAATGAGAGTAAAAATCCCTGTATACGTACCCTGTATATTTTTATAATCGCTTATAAAACTCATTAATATTCATAAGGCAAAACACAATAGAAATCATAGCCCATAAAGAGAGTTGTATATTACATACAGAATTCTTGTTCATTTGCATAAACTTTTACTCTGATTTTCTCAGTCAGATTGAATTTTTTTCAAAAGTTTCTTTAAAACCTGAGCTAATTTACCTTAACATTTCATAAGTAATATACAATATTCGCGCGCGATCTGTATGAGGTTTAAAACAGCTCGCTTTCAGCTCGCTGTTTTAAATCCTCATACAGACCGCCCGCTCATATTGTATATATTACTTAGATTATTATAATTTCACAGCGACGATTATAATACGTTACAATATTTCAGTTTTGAGATCTTATTTGTGCAGCCTAACGTCGAAAGCATGTATATAATAGCATGTTGTATATAATATATTCTTTTATTCAGAAGAGATCCTATTGTAATGCAAAAAATTTGCGTACAAAGAAGACAATAAACATCTATGCTTGATTGAAGCTAAGCTTGTTGCGCAAAAGAGAATTCCAATTCCAGGCAGGGATATTAACGGAGATCTGGGTCCTCCCCAGGAAAGTTTGAAATAACTCTTTTAAATGCGATTTCCTGAGTTTTGAGGGACATCGATGTATAAAAGGCATCACTTTTACGTGAATTTTTGATAATTTGATAACGAAGCCTTAGTGCGCGAAAGCAAGTAAAGACAATTATCTAAAAAAAAAATCCCGCCGGAAAATTGCCACGCGTACTAGCGTAAGGGACGCTACGCGCGTTCATGCTTATATCAACATTTGCAATGAGAAGGATGAAAAGCCCTAGAATTTGAAGCGTTGTCTGATCAAGAAACAAGACCGTGCATATTTACTTGGAAATATTACATGAATCTCTAGGCTTTTCTACTCAAGAAAATATTATCAAGAGAATATACAGTACGACATTTGCCGAATGGCAGCAATGTCATTTAAAATGTACGGTTAAATAGGCCTTTTCTGAGATAGCAGTTTGCATTGCATTGTGGTCTAGATTCGGTACAAACATCTTTAGTTCATGCTGCCAAATATGGTGTTGTTTTTACTGAAGCTAGACCATAATGCAACATGATTTTGTCTTTCAGAAATGGTCTATGTAACTCGGTATTAAGTTGAAAATGGAAATAAAGATGAAATAAAAAACCTTAGATGATATAGAATATGGGTAACAGTACTCAAGCATGTTAAGGTAGGGTATTTTGCCACTATTCTAAAAATAATTATTGGACTAAACTAAACTCATAATCTTTGGTTTACCATTTTTATTTTAAGAGATATTTAACAAAACAGGTCACGTGACTTGGTCAAAATTAAAAAAACCCCAGTATTTTGTACCTAATAGTTCAATGATATCCAACCATTCCAAACAGTTTCTTAGAGAGAACAATTTACTGAACAATTCCACTCAAAAATATTATGGTTTCACATAAATTTCGCCACCCCATTTTGAAAAAAATATTTTGATTCCCTTAGGGTCACGTGACCACCGGAAGTCGAATTTTTCTTCAAAATTTTAAGAAACCTAATTTACACTTTAAGACCAAGTTTGAATTTCATAAGGTTAAAATTACTTGAGTTATTAAAGGAATCGTGTTTTTCTAATATCATCCAAATGACCCTGCCTTAACATGCTTGAGTAGCCCTTAAGGGTGTACTGACATATCCATTGCTAGGGAAATTCAGTAGTTCTCTAAAATGACTAAAAAAATGGAAAATCGCTTTCATATTTGTTATTTAGCCTTACCAAAGAAAAATAACGTATTCCATGACGTTGTGGTATGACGTCATCACGTGACGTCATAAATATGAAAAAAGGCTATAATTTCATCAAGCAAAGTAAAATAAACGATTTAAAATGGATGAAAAGAATCTTCATATCTAAGTCCRYAAATGCAAGCATGYGTTTTTAGAATGATTGCCAAATAAGCTTTTTATGATTTTTTAAATGCCACAAATAAGCGAAAAATGCCAATAACTTTCGTATTTCGGCAAACCCATGCTTGGTTCTGAATAAGAGGCTGTAAAGAACATAAAAACTGAAAAACACGTCCATTTGATGTTCCGCGCGCCGAAGATTTTATTTTTTAACTGATGCCATACATTTTATGTAAATGAAGTAAAAATTTTCCCGCCATGAAAACGCGCGCGCGCGCTCTTCTCCGATTGGCTTCATAGCGATCCATAGCAGCCAGGTCGTCTAGCAACGGATATGTTAGTACACAACCTTAAGCTGCCAATCGTTGAACCCATTCGCTTCTTTTAGAGAACTTGATACATGTGAAGAATGGCCACAAGTGCACCACTTCCACCCCCACCCCTAGGAACGACAACATCGACATCAAAGCAGAGAAGCAATTACACTCGTATTGGCAGACTTTTAACCGACATTGGAACAAGAGTGTTGAGAGGAGTTCTTGATTCGCACCACCCACCTGCTAGTCTACAGAAACATATTAACTCGCCCGCTGTAAACTCTACACTGAAAAAACTCAGAGCTAAGAGAGTTCTGAACACACAACAATGGAGCAAGCTATACCCACCAGCACCAGGAGTGCCATCGTCGACGACCTTCGACATAACATTGCTCTTCCTTCTCCTACGGAATACCTGTGGTTTGACTCCACCTACTACAGGCTGGGATGCTGCCCCACCTCCAGCTGATGTTAGCAAAGAGGCTGATCTGATTCGAGTAAAACGATGCCGAAATGAAATAACTGGTCACAGCACAGCCGCAGAACTCTCTGATGCTGATTTTGAAACCCACTGGGCTGAAATTGAGGCAGCAATGATAAGACTTGGAGGAT